TTTAAGGATTAGGAGATTGCCTATATCAGAAATGACAAGCAGTCAGAAAGAGGAGGTAAGGTAGAAGCTCCTAAGATCAGGTAGCTGTCAGTGTTCCCATCTTCTTGGAAAGTTGGAGAACATTTTTGCTGCTGGAACTTAAGGTTTTTAGAAGCGCTCAACAACTGCACCAACTGAAAGATTCTTTAAAAAATGAAAAGAGGTGAAAAAAAGCAGTAGCCAAAGGTGAGAGGTTTTGTTTTTAATGTTACTGCCTCCAGGCATTTTTCCACCTGTAGAACTGCATAGCGGGAGCTCAAATCATCTCAATTCAGTGTTAAAGCATGTGGTTGCTATTCTTTCCACCTTTTTTAGACAGAAAATTTCTTCTAATTCACTTTGCTTCTTGCCTAGGTCCCAGAAGCATAGGACTTCCCTTTTTGTCTATTTGCTCGCAAACACAATACCTGGCTCCCATTCCCATTAAAGCATATTTCACTATAATCCAGACTCATCCAGGGGGAATAACAGTAGTGAAACATAAATACTTCCCTGCTCTTTTGTCTCCCAGCAGTCCCTTTTTATTTATTTTTATTTATCAAATTTAGATACTGTGAATCTCACTCTCAGAGTGACTCTTTTCAGAGTGATCTATTTCCTACTGGGTAAGCACAAGCAATAAAGGATATCTAAGGAGCAGCTGTAAGGCATTATCTAAGCATCTGAAGGACAAAGTTACTTGGATTTACTTGGAGCTTGATTTCAGATGGGCAGGTCCAGAGGAGATGACTGAGGCCTTATTGGGGATGAGTTTGATCCTGTAAGCCCTTTGGTCTCCATACAGTCCTTTATAATATCATCTCAGTCGCTTGTGAGTCTGGATTCCTGATTGATGAAAACTTCCAGAAATAGGATGGGGAGCTGAGCCAGGATGGTGATTAATCCATTCTTGACAGAAGAAGCATTGCCACTTCTTTGAAAGAAATGGTGGTAAGCCTTTGCTCAAGAAGCTATCACTCAATACTAGACAATTATCATCTTGTCTCCAACCTCCTCTTCTTGGACAGAATTATGGAGAAAGTGGTTGGGCTACAACTGAGAGAATTACATTTATATAGACCAGCTTTAGGCCAGTTGTAGACTAAGTTTCAGAATGAAGATGGCATTGATTGCATTGATTAATAATCTTGGACAAGACCAGAATAAGGATATTGCAATCCTTCCGAGTCCTGCTTAATTTCACACATATAATTTTAATCCCCATTACAAATTAGGGAATTGTATGTGACACATGGAGTGGCCCTCTAAACCTTGTAAATAAATATATATTTACTGTTACAACCACAGTGATATGTGTACATATTTTATGTGTACATAAAAGTTAAGTTGAAATGTTATGGGAGGACTCATAACTAATCCAAACATTGCAACCCCAATAAGTAAACCACATAATGTCATGATGTCCGAAACAGTATGCACAAAGTATCTGTGGGCCAAGGAATCCTATCTGAATTACATTTTCCAGAAACTTCTGCAGGTAATGCAGGAGATATGCTCATGCTCTACACATTTGTTCTAGGAAATATTTAGGAAATGTAGAAGATAAAAAGTGTGGATTAAAATACCACATACATGGGGGAGATAACTGTTGTGTATGACTGTAGACTTTAGTAGTTTCATGTTAAATATTCCAAACTGAAATACTTAACTGTGGCTATTAGAGATAGACAAGGAATGAATATGATAACTTATAAGTTGACCCTGACCAGCTCATTTATTTCATTTGAGAACAGATGTTCCAAGTTCTTTCAGTATAGGAAATTAAGGGAGCAAGAACCTCGAAACACTGGTGCTTCAACCTTTTAAATATGCTTCCTCCAAAATCTGGATAGTTCTCTTTTAATCACTTTTGGTGAATGGTTAAAATATGGCTTTTTTTGACATAATTTTGGAGACTAGGATCTACTCTACTTCTTACCTGAACAGTACTGTTTTGCTGAAGTTTTATGAGAGTTGTTATGTTTATGGTTTTGGTTGTTTTTATGATTGATTTATGAACTACCTTAATATCTGTAATTGTGATGACATTGAAATATTGAAAATAACAGAACAAAGTTACATTAATCAAAGCATTAAATATATATTTAATGCAGCAATTTTATTTGAGGGCAGATGTAAATACAGAGATAGTATTAAATATTTTAACAAGGTTTGGTTTATTGAAATTCTGTCCAACCTTTACCAGCAGTGGCTATATGGAGACATCTTTATTTTTTTTCTGAGTAATAAATAAATTGATTGTATCTATATGTGGTTAGTTCTGCTCTCCTATGTTGTGTCTGTTTATTTATCCTATATGTTAGGAATTACAGGGACCAGTTACTCTGATCAGAAAGGGAAGGTTTTAGGATGGAGTAATTGAACCTAGCTATCTCTCCCAGAGAGTATTAAGGGGAGGGTATTTTTCTCCACAGCCTCTAGATAGATCTGATTCATTTTCGAACTATTTTTTTTTTATTTGCCAGTTTCTCTCACCATACCAAATATGGCCCTATTGTGCTTTCTGAGAATTACCTTGCTGAAGGCTGTGGATGGACATACAGTAAACAATGTCCATCATTCATCATCATGAATTCATCATCGTGAATCATGAATGAATTAAGAGTTGCTAACCTAATGTTATGTAGCTTCTTCTCTATAAATACTACACTGCTAACCAGAGCATGCAAAACATTTGCTAGACCAATTCTTGAATACAGCTCATCTGTCTGGAACCCACACTGCATATCGGACATGTATTAATGTCCAGAAATGAGTCCAGAAATATTTCACAAGAAGAGTCCTCCAGTCCTCTCTTCACAACAGAATACCTTATGCCACCAGACTTGAAATTTTGGGCTTAGACAGCTTAGAACTATGCCGCCTTCAGTCTGATTTAAGCTTAGTACATAAAATTATCTGCTATAATGTCCTATCTGTCAATGACTACTTCAACTTCAACTACAACAACACACGAGCACACAACAGATAGAAATTTAAGGTAAACCGCTCCAAACTAGATTGCAGAAAATAAGACTTCAGCAACAGAGTGGTCAATGCCTGGAATGCACTACCTGACTCTGTGGTTTCTTCCCCGAACCCCAAAACTTTAACCTAAGACTGTCAACTGTCGACCTCACCCCATTCCTAAGAGGTCTGTAAGGGGGGTGCATAAGTGCACCAACGTGCCTACCCTCCCTGTCTTAATGTTCCCTTTTATTCCTATCCAGGTCATGTATTCATAATCATGTTTTATATTTATATATGTTACCAAATACATGCTTGACGAAATAAATCAAATAAAAATAAATAAAATGTGTGGGTCCATCCACTGTTTGCAATGACCATTAATGCACTTGGCAATTTGAGTCCAGAAAGAACAACCAGCCCATGTTGTATTGAAAATTGTCCTTGCTCTTTAAAGGTTTGATAGATTTTGAAAATACCTGGCTTAAACTAATAGGATTTAATTTTGCCTTGCAGCTGCATCTGTACTTCACTAATTATACATTATTTGAATAAGCCAGCAAAACAGACACTATAAAATGTATACTCAAGAAAGTAAAATTGAATCCTTTCATCAAGAAAATTATATTCCTTATTAAATGCAACACACCGTGCAATGTGTTTTGTACTTATCTGCTGTTGCTGGACTATTTATGTCCACGGTTCACAATTTTTCAGACCCAGTGGTAGTCAAAGCTCTTGTTTTCCAAAACTATAAATTATTTTATACTTTGCATTTAGCTCTCTATAGCATCATACTTTTTAACTGAGTTTTCTTCTGATGCATTGATTCTTTGGGAATTTCAAAGCATTGTCTTGGGAAAAAATGTTTTTTTTCTTTCCACTCACTGGGCAATAGTCACTAAAAACTGCCATACAAATGTCTTCCTATTTCCTCCATGCAGTATTTCAAATTATGTTTGCATATAGGTTCCTGCTGCTAGTGGGGGTTTTTTTTAGGTGCTTCAACACACCTTTAACTAGCAGCAATATAAGGATGTTTGTTTTAAGGATTACACATTATGCTTTATGAGCAATGCATTATGAGCCACAGTGGCACAGTGGTTAGAGTGCAGTACTGCAGGTTACTTCTGCTGACTGCAATTTGGCAGTTCAAATCTCACCAGACTCAAGGTTGACTCAGCCTTCCACCCTTCTGAGGTGGGTAAAATGAGGACTCAAATTATTGGGGGCAATATGCTGACTCTGTAAACCGTTTAAAGAGGGCTGTAAAGCATAACAGTCTAAGTACTATTACTATTGCTATTATATATATGCACACATACATTCTCTCTCTCTCTCTCTGTGTTTATATATACATATACATACATAATACATACTGTGTATGTGTGTGTGTGTGTATAGTTGCCAGCTTCTTAATGACATCAGAGACCTTGAACTAGAAGATCTAGATCTAGATTCTTCAGCCCGGTCTCCTCTGATTATGTTAAGGCTGAAGATTGAGAATTACCAGGCTGGGAATTTGGCAATTCTTGGCCTTTGGCAATATCAACATGTTTGTAGAGAGCAGACTAAAATTAATGTACAATAAATTTGGATAAAGCCATGTGTGCTTCTGTCTTTGTTCTCTCTACCACATCTTATTTTGAGGAACACTTGGATGGTAGCAAATACTCCACTCCAATCAAACATTTACTGCATGCAATATGGAAGTTTCAAGAACCTGTTCCTGTCTCAATCTATTCATTTTTCTCCTTTAATGAAGAAGAGATAATTGCATAGAATGAATAGAAGTACAAATGCACTTTTTCTCTCAGTTGATATCCGAAGAGCTACATATACATCTTGTACAAAAATACCGTGTGGCATTCTTTCTAACTACTCTTAATGAGTATCCTCCTTTTCTACTGACATTAGTGATTTATCTACTGCCTCAAACTTCACTTAGGCTTAGATAAAGAGAGGACATGAAGTGCAGATATGTAATCTCTTTTATCTCTTCTTCAATATTGTAGGAATTCTATTTTAAATGTGGAGCACACCCAACCTCTGACAGTGAGACATCTGTGCCGCTGAACCTCATTACAACAAATACTCGGTACATCTCATGTATAACCTGTACAGATGTTAGGTAAGTCAGCTTGAAGAATACTGATGCCAATACGGGAAACCGATTTTGTGTCTTGTCTTCTTTTCCTTCTATAGTATCTTTTCCTTCGTTATTCTGCTGAAATGGATGTGAGTTTCCCTGCAACTAATTCCTTAGTTTTCATAATGGACATTAGAACGTTGATGATGAACAAACTGTTTCATATTTTGTGAATATTGTGTTTTCATATTTCATATTTCTTATTCGGTTGATTAGGTTATGTGCCGATATAGTGCATACATGGAAATCATTTTCCATGTATGGAAAGACTAAAGACTAAAAGGCTTTAAGAAGAATATGTCTCTTTTTATATTTTCCACATTTCCTATCACATTACAGTAGCAATGATTTCCTACTGTTATTGCCTTGCCCCTCTTTATTGCAAATTATCCTGCTATTGAACATGGCTTTTTTGCTCTTCTTGCTGATAAGAGTGAATGAGCAAAACAGAAATGCATAGAGCTTAAACAATGTTCTGCAACGATGTTCAAACATAAGAATTGCATCTCATTTGTTTAAGTCATAAAGAAATTTCATAATCTCTTCCTTTCTATACTGCAAAACAAATATATACACATACACACATATACACACACATGCCTTCTGCAAGTTTTCCTCAAAAAGCAATGACAATGGTGATCCCATAGTTGTTCCAGAGTCCTGTTTATAGAATTTGCCAGTCCACTGGATATAACTAGTATTTATAAGTGGTTTGCAGTATTTCTGTACTTTTGCTAGGAAAACTATATGGATGTGTTCCTGGAGTCAACAGAAGTCAACCTCAATTCAAAGGCACTTTAGCCTTGTCATTATCAACATTCCTGTTAGCGGAGTAGTAGAACACTCTCAGTAAAACACGGGTAAATGTTCATTTTGAACTATCCTCACCAATATTTAATAATTAACATTTAATAAAAAAATAATTCAATATTTGAGGAGCTGCCACAAAGAAGAAGGGCTCAAGCTATTTTCCAAAGCACCAGAAGGCAAGACAAGAAGCAATGGATGGAAACTAAGCAAAGAGAGAAGCAATCTAGAACTAAGGAGAAAGTTTCTAACAGTGAGAACAATTAACCAGTGGAACAGCTTGCCTTTAGAAGTTATGGGTGCTCCATCACTGGAGTTTTTTTAAAGAAGAGATTGGACAGTCACTTGTCTTGAATGGTATAGAGTCTCTTGTTTGAGCAGGGGGTTGGACTAGAAGATCTCCAAGCTCCCTTCCAAATCCGTTATTTTGTTAAACCTGAAGAGGCATGATTAAAATTAAAAAGAAAGGAGCAAAGTATACATCACCATCTTTCAAAACAATACCTAAAGCATTTCATGAAGAAATAATATCCTAGTAGGAATTATTACAATAAAATGTGGATGACGTATTCAAGATTTCTCTTTAATGAAGTTCATAAATTTGTCAGGAATAAAATTACATGGATAATAAAACTCTGTAACATTTTCCCAGGTAGACACTTAAGAGATCCACTTAAAAAGAGAGGATGCCATTTATTCTTCACTTGTAATATTCATCCAAACTAGCTCATAAAATGCAGCACAACAAACTGCTAGAGAAATGGATTTTCCCCCTCTTATTTCTTATTGTGGCTTCCTTCTCTACATGTTTGAATTGGTCATAACATTCAACAATTTTTTTCATTGCCCTTCTGTCCTAAACAGCCTTTACTCACAATTGCCATTTCAGCAAGGAGTGGCATTTGACGTAGATGGTTTATGAATGCTTGTGACACTGAACTCATAAGAAATAGCATTGTGACCACTTCAGAAAATGGTGAATATGTTGAAACAGGGATTTTCCTCCTTCATGTTGTTACTCATGAAAATAAATGAAAACGGAATTGCAATATAATTCTCGTGGCCATTTCCAAAATGTATATGCTTTCCATTTTTTTCCCCAAACATGTGTTATGTTTCCATCAAGAAGCTTTTTAATGTACTGTTCTAGGCATTCTTTTCCCAATATTTTCATTTGCTATTGATGAAAGAAAGGGATTAGGATACATAGCTCATATCTGATAAACTGCTTGAGATACCTGTATAAATAAATATTCACCTCGCTTACATTTTACAAAATTAAAAATGTGTCAAATAAGAGTATTTTTATTTTTCAAAATAAGAGGGCTATTGATAAACTTAGGAGGAAAGAACTTGTTTATGAGCAAAAGCCAATTTCTCAAAAAGGTGTTGAAGGTAAACAGATGTTAGTCTTTTTCCAATTTAGCCACAACACAATATAGACCATTGAATTATTGCTGCCTTGACTGTCTGCTGACAGTACTTAGGTGTAGAAAGTAAGCTGTATTGATCAGTTAAAAGATGAGTCAGTTTTGAAAAGAATAATGATATTTTTATCAGTTCACTGATATCTGAGAGTTGTAAGACTGTGATTTATCTTTTTTATCGTTTATATTTGAGCTATTCTATGCAGAATCTCGATTGCTTGCTGTATCCATTAGGTCTGAAATGCCACCCAAACTCCATTGGCACAGGCACTAGTCTGTTTATTGCACAAAGCGCAACTGGCAGTGTTTATACAACATGTTAAAAGTGTACATCCATCATTTACAAACTACACTGAATGAGTTAACCCAGTGTACCTAAGCAAAGCCAGCTAAAACACTAGTTTAAGGTGTTGTATCAACCTAGCCAGTAATACTATTAGATTGACTAAGTTGAAGCAGTTACTACCATTGAACTGCAGAGTGGTTCATTAAAATCCCATGAAGTAAAATAAACTACAACCATAGTCCTTTCAGCAGTTCCAAGAAAGCTCCACACCAGGGGAGATATTCACTTACCTTTGTTACCAGTTCGCAAATGTAAGCAATGTGCAGCGCGTCAAAACCGGGATGACGTTCGGGCGGGTGGGCAGAGCCTCCCACAGCTGCCAGTATCTGTTCACTCGAACTGGATAGAATCGGCTGAACTACTGCTCCACACCCGTTTCCACTACTCAGGCAACCCTGAGGACACAGATAAACCTCCAAGTGGCCTCAATGATTCTCTAAAAGAAGGCAAATGACCAGCTGTCTGCAAGGGATATAAATCCTTCCATTTCTCACCATCCAGTCAGAGCTGAAGAAGCTTCTTGGATGAGAAGTGAAACGTCTTCAAAGAAAAACAAGAAAGTCAAGTTGCCTTTTGAAAAAGCACATCTGGGACAATCATGACCTGGATGACTGAGAATCTCCATAGACAGGTGCTTGTTTTATCCAAATCTTTATGTGGTGTTCTCTCTTTGTATTTCCATTACAAATAGGCAGGGCAAGTTATACATATGCACACCAAGAAAAGGGCACAAAAGACAGATTCTGGTATTTTCATAATATACTTACAAAAATCAAAACAAAAACCACACAACTCAATCTTAACCAGAACAATATATCAATTGACCATTTGCAACACAAATGTCTGTTGTCATTGTTGCTTTGGACAGTGAACCTATCCAAAAGAACACAACGATAGAAGTATTGAAGAAATGCACATATTGCAATGTACAGATAACCTGTGCTTAATAACTGCCCTGTTTAGTGACTGAAATTACAGTAATGCTGAAAAAATAACTTTACCTAGTCCCCACACTTGCAACTGCCGCAGCATCTCACAATCACATGATAGAGATTTAGGTTCTTCACAGCCAACTGCCGATAAACAGTCACTGGAGAAGCCAGCAGTAAAGCTTCAAGTCGCTGTCACATATTTCACTTAATGATTGCATTGCTTAGCAATGGAATTGCCCTTCCCAGTTGTGGTCATTAAGTGAGGACTACCAGTCAAACCTTATTCTTAATAAAGGCAAAGGAGGGGAAAAAATGAAAGCAGCACAAAATCCATCCAAACCACAATTTCTTTCAGAGATGTACCATGCTATATTTCTCTTTCAGTTACTGCAGTTATTTCTGGCATCTAGAGCAGGGATTCTCCAGCTTTGTTGGACCATGGCTACCAAATTATAAATTGATTTGCATGACAGGTCCCATTACTAGAACAAATGTTTCCATTTGGATTACAATGGTACAAGACGTAAATATGCATTTATTTTAATATTAACATTTTAAATTAAAGCAGCACGGAAAATGTCATGTTAGTGCAACTGCCCCTTTGCAGGCTTGTGCAGAGTAAGAAGGTCCAGAGTAAGAAGGAATAGGCCTCCTATCCTGCCTGCACAGGCAAGGAGGAGTTCTATCAAGTTGCAAGGATGAAACAGAAAGCAAAGTGAATGGAAAAATGTTCTCACTTTGGATTTGAAAAAAGGAAAATTGAGTGCTTCTCCCAAATTGCTGGAAACGCTCCAGATGGTCCCAGATCTCAGTGTTAACTTTTCTACTGAATATCATGATCCAAGATAATTGATTTATTTATTTCTTCATCATATATCTATGGCTACCTGTCTCTGAGCAGTATTCAAATAATGAAAACACATCTTAAATAGCCATTAAAATCAATTAAATATAAATAAGACCACCGGAGAGTGTTTCAAAGACTCAGATGTACTATAGCCCTCTGATGGGCTCCCTGTTTCTCATTGTTTCTCCCAATAGTTTTTCTTAGGAAAACCATATTTTGAGAATTTCCTGAAAGGCCAACAGTGTTAAGCCAATGTCACCTTGATATTGGTTATTAGCAGCAGCTTTTCCCCAAAACAGAAATTCCAATTTTATTATAGTGGTCAGTTATTAAAGGTTCTGAATCTTCCTGGATGATGGGAGGTATGATTAGTAGAAATAAAATACTTCCACAATTGGAATACATTAACTTAAGATGCACATTTTAAAATTACCAGTGAAAGCAAGAGTTGGAATTGTTTCATTGAGAAGAGGAATGAAATGCTAGCATTCAAGAGCTGTTCAAAAACAGAAACAACTTTATTTAGATGCCTACGATGATCCCTTATGGTATGATCTGATGGTTCAGAAAATTAATGTTAAAGGAACTGAAACACATGGCTTTCTAGGTAGTAAAGAATTTTG